AACCTACGAAAAGATACGCCGGCTGTACTGGTGGGAAGGACAGTATAAGGACGTCGAGAGGTACTGTATGACATGCGAAGAGTGCCAGAAGAGAGTTCTTGTGAAATACAAAGAGTCACTTCATCCATCCTATCCGACCAGACCAGGAGAGAAAGTACACATCGATCTAGTAAAAATGCCGAGAGGGGTAGGCAATATGAACTACGTCGTGAACATACGAGACGATTTCACTGGGTTCGTGGACGGTAGACCTATCAGAAGTAAGGCGGCAAAGGAAGTAAAGAACTTTATTTTAGAGTACTTATCTAGCTATGGTTGTGTCACCAAGATAGTGATGGACAGAGGGGCGGAATTCCTAGCCGACGAGGTTCAGAACGTGTTTAGGAGAGTCGGTGCGAGAGTTTCGATAGCCACCGCCTATCACCCACAGTCGAACTCCCCAGTAAAGAGGGGACACCAGACTCTGATAGCGTCACTGTCCAAGTGGTGCAAGGGTAAGGACAGTAATTGACCACGATATTTTCGATACGCAATATGATCGGACAACGTCACGATCCGGGCTAGTACCGGATACCCACCGTACACCTTGTGGTTTGGACGACATTGTCCGCTTCCCATAGAATTTCACGTCGACAGCTGGACAACCATCGACTGGGCGGAGGAGATGTCCAGAGAGGAACTCTTAGCTGCCCGAACGAGACAAATAGCCTACGGTTTGGAAGATGACCTCATGACAGCGGCAGATCGTCTGGTAGTGGAAAGGGACAAGGGTAAAGAGAGATGGGATAAGAACGTGCGAATCAGGAAAGAGAGGGTGAGCGTAGGRGATATGGTCCTTCTCTACGATGCAGCGCTGGAAAGGACCTGGAACGGAAAGCTTGCCAATAGATGGATGGGACCTTACAGAGTGGTTGAGGCACTTGACTGGGGTGCATATATGATAGCAGAACTAGAAGGATCTAAGTGGAAGGACCCAGTGGCGGGGGCTAGGTTAAAGCAGTTTAGGCCCAGGCCTACGCCCGCCTTATCGCTGACCAGCCCAAAAGGGAAAGGAAAAGCCTTGATGGAGGATGGAGCCCCCTTGAGGCAATTCGAGGCAGGGGAGAGTTCCAAGAAAAGGAAAAGATTAGAAAAGAGAAAGGTCAAAGGGTTAGCTTTAGGAAGAGAGAAGATATGGTTATTCGTGCTCAAGCGAGCTAGACGAAGAGTTCGGGTTAGATGTACTGGCGGATCGACACCCTTCTCGGGGCAAAGACAGAAGAAAATGAGGATCGTGCCGGGGCAAAAAACCAGAAGAAACATGAGAGTCGAGAAGCATCTTCTTAGCCCCAGGACTCATAACAAACTGAAACATAAGACAATTGAACGCCGACGTGGGCGACCCTTACGGGCCATCCTCCTGAAGCTCATCCGCTTCGTCTGACGTAAGTTGCTAGGGCTCGATGGGGGCATCGAGAAGTGGTCCGGGCTAACTGTTAGGCGGCCACAAGCAGTGCGCCGCCTGAAATCTACGGTTTAGGGACTTAGGCTCAAAGACAAGTCCGTGCAATGACAGTACTCTGGTTTGACCATGCAACAAAAATTAAGGGCACCCCCAGTATCCCTAAGATTAGATATGACGACCGTTGAGACTAGCTCTCGAAATTGATAAGAAGGACTACCTCTTCTACCGCGGTGGCGTCTATCTTAATACCGCCGTCTTTAGCTTGTTTCCGGGATGGCCGCCTGCTGAACAGCAAGATGGAGATAGGCTTAGGCGTGGTTCTTTTACGCTCTACAACTGGCGCAGAAGTGGGGATATCATCAATTTTGGTATCAAAATTAAAAAAGAGAACATGAATTAAGAACAAAACAAGAAAAGAGAAAAACAGAATATTCATTAATTTATTCAAAATCTTTGATATTTGATTTTTAATGGAACCGCCCTCAATTATTGGACTTTCTGACAATAGAGTGAAAAATAAGAAAGAGGGATCAAAGGCGATAAAAGAAAAAGAAAACAAAGAATTTTCGTTATTTAATTGAATTCCATCGGAATTGATTTTTGACAAGATTGTTTTTATTTTCGTTATTTTCGATAATGGAACTAAGAAATAAGGAACATAATTAAAAATAATAAAACGAGGAGGAAACCCACGATTATCTGATAATTAACTAATTTTTACTTAGTTATTCGCGAGGGGTTTTAATTCCGAATCATTTATTTACCTTGATTCTAACAACTCTCTCAATTTTCCGATAATCGAGATTACCGCTTGACTTGCTAAACTTACCTGATTTGCTTAAGCGCCACCTTGTTCCAATCCGGGTGTTGTGAGTGAGTGCGGGATGGATGCCTGGCGCGAGATTACCACCGGTGCTATTTTGATTGGGCTTCATTGCTTGGGTGTTACCGCTGGGTCGATTCGGGCACGGTACTCTGGTTCGGGACAGGCTCGGTATTATTACAACTCATTGTTGCATGGTACGACACTCGACACCGAGCGGTATAATAATAGTGCAGGCGGCGGTAAATCAGAGCGTTTCTTCGGAACCGGCATTGGTACGCTTGCTGGAACGGAACTGGAATGAAACTAATATCGCGACGGCATTGGCATGGGCGCTAATGCAGATTGGCACAGCTATTGGATCGGCATCGACACGAACTGGTACGGTATTGGGCGGTTCGATATTGGTATGTCCTGGTATGAAACTCCGATCCACCTCAGGACGGCTGTGGTTCATTTATTCGGGGGTACTGATTTTCTTTTTCCATGATAATTGGCTGGAGAGGATTATTTCAGTCACTGCAATTATCCCGACGACAGGGTTTGACTGTGTGAAATAAGCGACGACGGCCGGCTGGATTGGCTTTTGGTACCTTTCACCGCGGACCCTGAATT